ATGCATATGTATATATATGTGTGTGTGTGTGTGTGTGTGTGTGTATATATATATATATATGTCGTGTGCAGGCGGGATATATTTCCTCTGAGAGCCAAGAGATCGACCTGTTTCACATTACATCGTAACGCGCATTACATATAACGTGTATCTAATCTGTGTATGTGTGAAGAACGCAGTATAAAATATTGTATAAATATATAAATACTTGATTGAAAAAATAAATATATTAAATTAAAAAAGAGACATACACGTAAGGTATATTATTTGTTATTAATCATTAGATATTTATACGCAGAAATATTAGATATTTGATATGCAGAGATGTGCAGGTCAAGTCTATAACAGAAGAATAAACGCGAGGTTGGCTTGGTAAGTGTGGAGTCCCTCGTGATGCGTCCGAGTTTAATCCTTTGATTGTGAAAAATTGCTCTTTCAAAATTTCCAACAAATGAAACAGAAATGCGCTGGTACGACATAGTGTATTTAAATTTACCATTTCTCTGTATTAATTAATGTAACATAATAATAAAATAAAAAATAAAGAATTATAATTATTTATTTAGAATTTTTTATATGCTTTTAGAGAGAAAGTTCTCAAATCTAGATAATATATATAAATGTTCACAATCAAAGAATTAATTCTCTTAACAAAATTTAATTTCATCGTGAATATATTGTGATTAATAAGTGAGCTAATTCGAAAGAAAAAATTGAATTACATGTACAAAAGTATCACACAAAACGAAAGATAATCTAAATTAACATAATCTATACAAAATTAATATAAAGATATATATATGTATAACTATCGAGATTATGAAAATAAAATAAAATTTAGTCCTATATCTTTTCCGTTAAATGATACAATAAATCGTCTTCAATCTTATTTCATAAGCAAAATGCAGAGAATAAGAGACTTTAGAAAAGTCTTGAAAATAATAGTATTCTTAATAATAATTTTCATAATAAATAAAGAAAATATATTAATATGGAAATAAAATTTATAAAAAAGAAAAGAAAAAATATTATTTTTTAAGAGCACTTTAATTACCTCGGTACCAATCTCTCAGTAAAAAAGAAAAAAAATGAAGGTATCGCATGCATTCAATTGAATAAAAAAAAAATCTCACAAGTCCAGCTAAAATTAAAGATCAGTAGTCCATAGTGAGGAAACTCGAGAGATTGGCAGATCCCCGTTTGGTTCGATAGTGAAATAGAATCGAAATGATAATTAAAAAATTAAATAAACCGAAATGTCACGCGATTTTTAGAACGCACTCTCAGGACTCCAAATAGGATGTCTTCAGCAATCGCTGATGCTTCGGAAGGGAAATGTCAGGACACCGTCGTCGTTTCCGGTGATGACATCGTCGATCGCGAAACATCTCGACTTCGTGTCTCGATTTCGCGACGGACGGCGTCGAATTTAAAGAAAAAACAAATTTTTTTCTTTACGAAAGACTAATCGATGAAGGAAATCGCGCCGCGTACTTTTATCTTCCGGTCCTCTCACGAAACTCGCGCATTCGTCTCTGCATAAGAAGAGAGAAACTTTCATTCTCCGCGTTGCTCTCTCTTTCTCTCACAATCAGTCTGTTTTTATTTCTTTCCTTCTCTTTATTTCATTTGACATCGCATCGATTTTTAATCAGCAACGATGTGAATCGAAGGTGTTATCTTGATAGTATTTAATAAAATGCATTTTCGGAATAGAAAACTTCGAAATCTACCTGCATTATACACATTTAGACCTGTGAAGGTGATCTTTCGATCGTAGAATGATCGATTTAAAATTCAGTTCTATTTTTCGTTCTTAAGAATCTTGAAAACTTTTAGCGCTAAAAATGTATGATAAGAATACAGAGACGAGTATGAATATCGGAATGAAATATATCTATCTCAAGATAGATAGATTTGCTGTGCATGAAGATATTTCGAAGAACTCAAATTCTCCTTAAATTAATCTTACATGTCGATATTTCGAAACGAGACAAAATGCAACTGTCACGATAACACTTTCAATTAGAGAATAATCTTCGTAGTCCCGGTCTCATTAACGTATTAATAATATGAATGCGCGTAAACTAATAATTTCGATATTCTATAAATAGTACAAACTAAATATACAATTGATTATAAATAATGTACGAGTGGCGATGGTCTTTTTTCGATTTCACGACGACGGCGATAAGGAGAAAAATAGGCATAACGATGATAAAATAATAATAATAATAATTAATATATTAATATGATCATAGCAATCAGAGCGTCATCGACGATTGATGTCACTCGTATGATGATGACGCGTCCACAATCGCCGCGAAAGGTGCATTTTAAGATGGGACAAGAGACACTCGCGTTTATTTGAACGAAGAGGAAAAAAAAGCGGGAGCAAAAATGAGGGGCAAGACTGAACTATCATTTCATAGAACAATTTCATGTGCGACGCTGATTATGGAGTGGTTGGGCGGCGCAGATTACGAAAATTATTGCGAATAATATTAATAATAATAATAATAATATTATAATAATAATATAATAATAATAATAATAATAATAGCAATATAATAATTAGTTAATAGTTATTAATAATGAAAAATAATTATATTAATAATAATAATCATAAACTAAATCTATAACAAAGTTTGCTCTCAAGTATAAATTAAACGAAAATATTTCTTGTGTAAGCATAAGAAGAGTTTAGTGCTTATATATGTACAGAATGATACCGATTTTTTCGAAAATCATGTCAGCTTGCAGACGCTTGCTTTCCTTTCTTATCATAAATTCCCCGTCGACGCGGGGTCGGCGCTTTCCCGTCGAGATTCGTCGACAGAAATAGAAAACCTTTCGAAAAAAATTCTACAAATTTCAAATCTATGCCCCGAACGAGACGACGCCCAGACATCTAAATTATCTCTTCGAGAAATCGCTCGGCCCGCGCGAGCATCTTCCGACTTCCGCCTCTCACGCTATTCTCTTTCTTTCCTCTCATTCATTCATTCACATTCGTCTTTTCTCTCTCTGTATTCCTTTGTCATTCTTTCTTTCATTCTCTCTCATACGTTCGCGCATTTTACAATAACATATTTTTTTTATAATAGTAAATATTTCTATATGCAATAATTACCACATTTTTTATGATTATATTTTAGTATTATAAAGTTATCACATTTTTTGTTGGGGAAAAAGAACAATACATACGAAATAGACCGGCATCACCATAGCTCTCTGTCTTTCACGCCGAAGTGAGTCTCTCTCTCTCTCCTCGTCGCGATCACGGGTGCAATAAACACAATCGTTAAATATATAAACATATACATATGTACGTAAAAAAAAAAAATCAAAGGCAGAAGTCTACGAGTCTCGCGACGAGAAAGAAACGCTTTCCTCGATTTGAAAAGAGGAGAAACGCTCGTCGGGGAACCGATATTTTAGTTCCGTTCCGGACGATTCAATCGCACGAAATATATATCTTCTCTTTCTCAATATATAATATGTGTGTATGTACGATATATATGTGTTTGTGTATTCTATAAAACATACCTCTACTTATTTTTTCACATATTTATTTTACTCTTTAACCAGCACATCCACTCACACCATTACTTTCCATTATTATTCCAGCTAGTTGTATCTTTCTTTCATTATTTCTCTCTCTCTTTCCTTCAATATCATTCAATGTCATTCTCTCGTGCCATCCTCACCGTGTAATCTAATCACTGTAATATGGAAGACAATCGAAGTTTACAAAGGCACTCACTTTATGACTGTTAACGCACTGAAAACGAAGCTACTATATTTCCGAGTATATTAAAAGAAAATAAGAAGGGAATCTTATCTATTCCGAAGTCGCTCTTTAATATAAATAATAAAAGAAGAAGAAACACAAGAAAAGATACTAAAAACTACTCGCTATAATCTCTACTCTACAGTCCATTTATGAAAATTGTCAGCAACGAAAACCTTTTGTTCCAGTCAGGCGCACGGTGTTTAAAACACATAGTCGTATGCGTTTCATGATAACCCTGTACTGAAACGTTGTCGCGTTATGCGGACGTAAAAATTTGCGGAAACTGGAAGCTTGGGCGTACCTCGCGAATTCACGACGCCGAATTAAAAAAAAGAAACCCGGGCAAAGTTTATCCGCGAGGGTGCCAAGACGTTTCCCGGGATCAGAACGAGAGCAACAAGTGTGTATCCTCGATCCAGAAATATAATTTTACGACAATCGTTTGCGGTGCGTTAATCGATTTCACTCGGCTCCATCGCGCTCTCTCAAGCACTCCCTCCCTTCCTCCCTCTCGCTCTCACTCTCTCTTTCTCTCTCGCTCTTTCGCTCGCCGGAGTGCTCACTCTCGCCTCTCCTTTCACTCTCGAGACGACTTTCCCCACCCCTGCTCCTCCGGAGAAGAAACTCGAAGAAACGTAACTGTACGCGCTATTTGGATATTGCAACATTTCACCTGCCCCGGGTGCGTATGACGCCGTATGGTGCTCGCGGCTCGAAAAAATCCGATGGAGGAAGGCGATGGACCGTGGACAGTGGGGAGAGGGCTCCGACGGAGACCGGAAGGCCCGGTAAAAGATTCACCAAGTGAGATCAATGAACAACTTGCTCGTAGGAAAGTCACATTTCGGAATAAATTTGCGCTCGGTATCCTCTTTCGCCTCCCCCGGTCCTTTTTATACAACCCCCACATTCCACTTTTATATACCTTCCTCCAAAAGCACTTTAGCCTTCGGGCCTAGCGAGTTGAGACTTCCGGGCTGATCTCACTTTTCTGCTAAACTCACATCTAACGATAAAATACGAAAAAGAAGAAGAAAAAGAAAAAGGAATAAGATGATAAGATATATCAATATAATAATAATAATAATAATAATAATAATAATAATAATAATAATAATAATAATAATAATATTAATAATAATATGTATAGAGTAATATAGTAATATATTACAATAGTAATGATATGATATATATATGATGTGATTATGGTGGTAATAATATGTAAAAAAAGGAGGAAAAAAGACAAGGGTTTTCAAAGGTAAAAAAGAAACCTACCGACGTATGCCTTAAAAAACGCATCGCTTTTCAAGAAAGTTGAACGATGGATAAAGAGAATCACGTCGCGCGAACGGCGTGACTTCATATGTAAAAAAAAAAAAAAAGAAGAAAGAAACGAAAGAAAGTATTTTCCTCCGACAGAATCCACTGCGGGGAGAAGTTATCCTCGCTTAAACCCCGAGTCACAAATACCCCCCCTGAAATCCTTTTCCTCTTCGCGCAAGCAATCGCTCTAGATCTTGAGATTATCGAAATCGCCCAGGGTGCTGCTGATCCTGTTAAACACCGGCAACCTAGACTCCGTGTTAGGTGACAACGGGGAGGGTGTCCTGGGCGTCGCCTCGTCGGAGGCGAGAGGGCTGCACACGCCGTTATTGCGAGGACTCGGACTCTGCCTCGAACAGGCGAGCAGACTGAAATCCTGACCGAAGCTGAACGGCGTTGTCGGCAGATTCGTGCACGAGGCCGCCTGCTGGCTACAGTCGTCGCTGAAGAAACTCGCCATGGAGTTGGTCGGCGACTGGCTGAGGCTAGACGACGGCGACACCGAATCGGCGGAGCTGCCGAGGGAGAAGGTCGGGCTGAGATTGAGCGGCTTGGGTTTCGTCGCGCCGATCACCGACTTGACGGCGTTCACCTGATGATGATGGTGGTGCTGCTGCACCGCGTGATGATGATTCGTCGCCAGGCTCAGCGATGACGTTCGCAGCAACGGCGGCTGATTGTAGCCGTTCGCGTTGGCGCTACCCAAGCTCAACGAGTTGGTTCGCATGAGGTTCGATGTGGTGGCCGCTGCCGCGGCCGCGACAGCCACGTGGGACGACGCGGCGAGATGCTCCAGCAGACTGACGTTGACGTTATTGTTGACTGTGGACGCATTGTTGTTGGCGATGGCACCATTACCGGCCGCGGTCGCCGCTGCAGCAGCGGCTGCCGCGCTCATCAACGGATTCAGGCCGATTATGTTGGGCTGCGTCGAGCCCAGTTGGGCACTCACCTTCTGATTGTGTATGCGTGCCTCCTCGAAGTTGTGTATAAAGTGGCAGCGCGGCCCGTACGGGCAGAAGCCGATTGTGTGGAAGGTGCGGCACAGCTCGGTCTTGTACTTGGGGTGACGCGCGAGATTGCGTAGCTCGCCGTAGCCGTGTGCGAACTGACACTTGTCACCATATTTGCACGAGCCGCTTTCCTCGTACGGCCGGCAGAGCTCTGTCTTGTAGCGGGACGTCGGCTCGCTGACGCTGCGATCCAATTTCCGGTGTTGCTCGATCAACGTGGTCACCAAGGAAGTGTAGCTGCGCTTCAGTGGCGCGTGTCCGTTGGTGACGTTGGTGACGGCGGCACCGCCGTTGGCGGTGGCCGACGTTGTCGAGGACGACGGTGATTCCTTCGCCTTGGCCGAGGCTGCGTTCTGCAAGCAGAAATAATGCGTTTCATTCGACTTTTACTCCGAAATGGCGGTCATTCGCGTGTGGGAGTAATTGGCGCGTTATCAGACGGACGAGGGGAGGAGACGTCGCGTGGGTAATTTGACGTTTGAAATGGCGGCGCGGATGATAACCGAGACTCTTGGCAATTCCGCAACGTCATCGCTACGAGATAGCGTGTTGAGCAAGTCAGCGGTGGATTGTCACCGCTGGAACTGTCGTTCGTTTCAATGGGAACCTGAACAATACGCCGTTTGCCGTAGAAAACGGAAGGCAGACGTTGCGACAGTCACTTATGCAAGTGTTACAGATCAACTTTGGGAAGGTTCGAAAGTGCCAGGATTTCTATTTAATGATATTTATCAACTCTTATTTGCTTCGATGCGACTTTCACTCTATTTTTGAAGACATTTTTTCAATTGTAATACGTATAAATACTACAATAATATCGCGCGAAATTTGGTTAAAGGTGATGTTTAAAAATGTATAAAAATTTGGGAAATTTATAGGAATAATTTTATGCAGTATTTCATGTATATAATTTTATATATATATATATATATATATATATATATATATATATATATCATGCATATCTGTATCTGTAAAATCGATAAGATTGACTACTATCACAGTTGAAACATCAAAAAACCTTTAGCAAATGAGAACAAAAACATAGTTCAACGCACGAAAATGAGTTCATAGCACACAAACAGACGTATGAAAAATCTCAGCAATATGAGATCTCGTTTATGAGTCGATAATCAAGTCCTTATCTTCCATCACTCAACGATAGATAACTGAAAATAAATAAAGTCAGATAAAAATTGCAGTGTATCTCGAGTGATAGCTCTTCAACTGCGATTGTAACAATTTGTTACGATCGAGTTTAAAATTAACTCTTTCTACATTTAATCCAGATCTTTCCTTCATCAGTAATCATTTTGTCTAATTATTTCGACAATAAAATTGTAAGGATAAATTGAATCACATAGATTGAAAAGAATGATAAAATCAAGAAAAGAGAAAGAAAGAGAGAGAAAGAGTAGATGTGTTAAGATTGTTTGTATAAATTTTTAGTAAGAAAAAAGAAATCTCACATGTAAAATTAGAAACTATTAGATTATTATTTATTATTTTGGACAGAAATTTGATTTTTTAAAATAATTGTTTTGTCGAATCTTTGCTCAATCCATGATATTCGTTATAATAATCGTTTCCCAAAAAGCCTTAGTATGATGAATTTACATTTTTTGGCTGGGCTAAAAAATTCATAGTTTAAAAAATGTCTGTGTAATAACTTTTTCTCTCTCATTTTTTGATACTTTTAAAAAAATTAGGAAGATACCGTTTAACGATCTTTACTACTAGTCCCTAATCCCTTCACAACTTTCTAATCTAACGGTTCTTTGCCTTATGTTAAGGTGATATTCAGATATAGTGGATTTAGAAGATGCAATGTATAGATTGTGAATGTTAATGGTAGTGAAATATCGCTTTAAAAACAATTCTACTCGCTTTTGGATTGAAATTATAGCAAATTAAATTATATTTTGATATGTCTTGATAAAAATCCTTCTTACATCTGATATTAAAATGTTTTCTTATGTAATATATGCAATACAGAAAAATCAATACATAAAAAATATGAAGAAATAAAGAGTATAAACTGCATTTTAAATTAAATCATTTTATAAATATTTTGTAAAAATTATACAATAAATTAAATCAGTAAAAGATCTTAATAAAATGTATTTGATAAAAATATATGACATTTAACAATTATCAAAATAATTCTAAGAGATATTTTGTATTATTTTAAAAATAAATAATTGGAATAAGTACATAAAAATATGTACATGTATATAACGTAATTGAGTGATGTTCGATATTCATTATGTTGCCAGCTAATTCGATCTTTCATAAAGATTGACGTGCACGAAGGAACATTAACGAAATGCGTCCTACTTCCCGGAAATCACGTATAATTCTCGCGGTTACTGCAATTACTATTACCATCGCGAACGATTCCACTTCCAAGAATCATGTTCGAATGAAGAGTTGCTCTGATTCATTATACGAGATTTATCTCTTTAACAAAAAAATTATCATAAATAATGTGGCGCTAACTTTATACAGGTTTCTTATAAGACGCTTTAAATTTATTATTACATGTTCTCCGATTTTGAAAAGTGGACTTTGGAACCAAAGGAATTTTCAAATTAGATTTAAAAAAACAAAACTAAACGTTATAAAACGATATAATCATTCTATTATGCACGGAAAATTTCAGAATATTATTATACGACAAAAAGTGATAAAAAAATTATTAATTATTATGATTCTGAATAAAACACGAGTCTCTTCATATCATAATGATCTTTTTTAATATTTATGCAATATTGCAAACTGACGACACGATAAAAGTCACATAAAATAAGAATACAATAATTAACGTTCGAGAAAACTTGGACGAGACGTGTTGCATGCAAAAAACTAGCGATAACTAATCGATCAAATAAATTGACGAGGTAAACCGACATCAAAGAGCTTCATGATTCATGAAATTTTTTTCGAGCTTGTAAAAAAGTAAGAATCTATTAAAATATATCCGCGTAGAAATACAATTTTTTTTGCGTCTTTTAATCGATGTCATTAATTATAGAAAAGTTACACAATATCTCTGCCATGCCTCGTTTCGTGGTGCAATAATTATTACTGTATGTAATAATACGTACACATACACGTTTCAGAACGTAAATCTGTCTAGATGTTGTCGTGCAGATAACGGCATAAATCAACTGAGCTTTTAATGTTGGTGAAGATTGATAGGCGTGACTGGTTATCGAAATTTTATTATATATATAAAGGAGAAGATCATGAGGATCAAAACGATTTTGCTGATAATAATCATCTTTTCAGCTATACTTTAATGTAGGAGATGAAAAAAATAAGAGACTTAGTGATATCGCAGAAAAATCGAATGAGTAGCAACAAAGTGCTCAGTAAACTTGTAATATAGCTTTATTATTGAAATTTCATGTCAGATGTTTCATGTAGAATGATTTAATTGCACATTTTAGTCTCTTGTTTGTTACGAGATTAGGCTCTTTTGCATTTTCTTAAAATAAAAAGAAACGTGTTACAATAATAAAAAAATATTACATAAATAATTATATAAAAAATATTATATAATATTATATAAATATTATATAAATAATAATAGTATAGGAAAATATTATATAAGTAATAGTAGTATCTATTACAAATTATATAATGGATACTATTAGCATTGATATTATCAATCTTGCAAATTTTTTTCCCATTATTTTTCTTGATTTTGCAGTTTATAGTTGCAACGTAATAATATTATTAGCATTTCAATAAACATCGCGACAGGCCACGAGTACATCTGACATTGAAGCTGCTGTTTCCGAATCTCCTTCCATCCCGGATTTTGTTAAAGACGACCAGCCATCGCGAATAATCATCGATCGCGCGCACTCGGTGACGTTCGCAAAAATAGAGAAAAAAGAAGGGAAAAAAAGATCTAGCATTTTTCGAGCGTGAGATCGCACACACAGGAGGATTCACGAGAGTCTGGAAATTTCCATCAGCACGTGCGCGTATCCGTGTCAGAGCGATCTTGTTTGTTTCATGTGTCTGTATGTGTGAGCGCCACACATATACACACACACACACACACACACACATGTATCCGCAACTCCTCGTAATTATTCCCGCGTAGCCTCCGCATGTTGAAGAGTGTGTTTATCGTAAGCGCACGATCGCCGATAATCGTCGGACACACACGCACACGAGTAGCGTGTTTACGCTCACGTGTGGTGCGTGTGCGTGTGTGCGTGATTATATATGCATAAATCTTAGCGATACACACACTGACAATATATCGGATATCTAATCGCGCAGATTTGCACTCTTTGATAGAATGCTATGTGTTTTCGATGTTCGTTACAATGTCTAAGACAGACATTGATAATATATAAGTGCAAAAACACTCTAGGCAAAGAAGAATCGTACTTTGACTAGCGAGAAAGTTATTGATCAATTAATTTGTATTTTCAAAAATATTGGAAGAATGTTATTTATTTTCTTCCTTTTTTTAAAGAAATCAGAATCACTAGAAATTCCATTATTTATTCTTTAAAAATTAATTGTATCTTGAATGTGTGTGTAATATTATTAATAGCTATAATAATTAAGTCGGGTATTAAATCAGAATGATAATTGTCAATAAATAGTCATCTTTTGACGCAAATTATGCAAATCATTCTGAATTATCGTCTAATCTCCCTTGTTCTAAATGCAGCGTAATTAGTCATTCTTTACGAATTCCTGAATTTTCCAACTCTGAGTTATCACTAAATTCTTCTGTTCTAAAGATAGCATAATTAGTCATCTTTTTTACGAATTTATCTTCCTCGAATTCTTCTTCTTATACTTCTAAGATAATTAATAAGCATTTTAAATTATGATATGTCATGATATGTGTGTACGTGTGTGTAGTATTGATCTCTCTTCTCTTTGTTAAAAATTTAATTTTATTTAAAATAGCAAATTATTAAAACATTTAAAATAATATAAAAATTAATACATGTGTATATAACATTTCTAAAACAAATAAAATATAAAAGTAATACAAACATAATCAATAAAAACATAAAAAAATACAAATAATTAAATCTGTTAATAAATCTGCTTCATTAAAAAATAAGGACAAGACGAAAAGAGAGAAAAATAAATTTTGTCTGTTAATGCATATGTCTTTAACATATATACTTTTGGCAGTGTATATTTTATAACATCATGATGAGCAGAAAAGGCTGCCTGATAGAAAAAATAAACTGCTTAAGTTTTTCTCGTAGACGTTACGATCCTGTCGAACTCGACGACGTATGGTTACAAGCAGTGTTTCCTTAACACATCGTTGATGAATCCCTCTAATAAAATTAGCTTTCAAAAA